GCGTCCGGAGCCTGTGCTCCGCAAATGGGAGAGGCCACGACAGTGAGAGGCCCGCATAACGAAAAAAAAAAAAAAAAAAAAAAAAAAGAGGTGGTACTTTGATGTGTGAGTAGGGACTGATTGGCAAGAGTGGAGAAAACAGGTCCTACGGTGAGATTAATATAAAGATGTGGTAATTACTTATTTCACCTCTTGCACAGTTAAAACCCTCCAAATTTTAAGAATTCTGGAGCACCTATTTTTATCTCCTCCTAAATTGACAAATGAAAATACATCCTAATCTTCAATGAATAGGCTTACTGAAGAAAAAAAAGCCTGCACAGTTTAGCAGTTCGTAACAAGGAATTTGAAATCAGATATACCTTGGTAGAAGCCTGACTTCACACTTGTAACTAAGCAAGATGACTCTGAGTAAGTTACTTCTTGAAGCCTCCCTTTCTGCATTTCTGTAAGGAAGGTGGTTCTCACAGGGCTATTATAAGGACAAGTAGAGATAGTGTACATACCAAAGCATTTAACAAACTGCATGCCAGTTACAGGTATACTACAAGCAGTAATTACTGCAGTATGTCCAGCCCAGCAGCCCACTGGATATATGTGCCCCCAGCCATCAGCTGTGCTTTGCATGCCTTGGCGCTCTCTTGGGGACCCTCTAGAATGGAGTTAGCATCTTTCACGTTCCTTGCAAGGTTCCACTTGTACAAAAGATTAGTAAACAAGACAGAATTTACTAAAGATTTCATTAGGGAGAGAGAGGAGAGAGCTTAAATCATATACCCACAACAAACATATTCCAAGTCATTATTTGATGGTTCAGTTTCCAAAGCACCTCTAGATGGCCTACAAGGGTGGGAAGCAGAGTTCCCTCCAGCCCTCAAAAGGCATCCTCTGGCTAGAGTAGTCAAACTCCTCCTGTCTATTAGGAAGAAGAGGTCACCTCTGCTCTCCCTTTAAAGGCGTGTATATATAAACACGTCACAAAATGTCCTCCAGCTGCAGGGCCAAGTAAGGAGGCAGGTTAACAACCATCTTTTGTTACTCAAAAATGTCCAGAGGAACTCATGCCTACCCCAAGTATTTCTCATTAAAAAGAAAACAAAACAAATAACCACCAATGCTTTCCCTAGGAGGATGGAAGAATAAAGTTCTACCTCCTACCAGAGCTGCAAACAAAACCAGATGATATATTTATATCAGGAAAGAAAAAGATGAAAATTCATCAATTTTCTCATTACACTTCAAAGCATTAGATATATTAGCTCTGAGGCTGAACTGTGTGTGTTTGTGACCACTAACAAATAAAACCAAATCATACCATGAACCCAATCTTAATTAGCAAACATATTAGAAAGGAAATAAAAATAAAGGATATTAAATAAATTTGCTTATAATTATACTGGTTGAGAATGTTTAGCATGTGTTTAAATATTACCTGAAAACTATACATTTTTACTTTATTCCTCAAGTTGGAACCACTAACCCAAAATGCAGATGTATGCATATCACGTAACATACTAAACCAATTCCATGGGGGAAAAACAGAAGAAATAAACCTGTCTCTTCTGTATACTTTTACTGTAGCAAAGGATTCATATGACCCATGGAAAGCTAGAACTAAAACCCCAATTTCCTGATTCCAAATACATATTTTCTAAATCTTAGAAACAAAGAATAACAGCAGCTGGAAACAAAGTTAAATCATAACCGCTAAAAATCCAAAGTTCCTTACATGTTCCAATTTCCTAAATAAGTATAACCTGGTATGCCTAGCAAGTAAATAGCATGGCATTTATGGATATGTCTGTCCTTGCATGTTTAGGTTGCAAATTTATTATACCTAGACTTATGTACTACTCAGAAAAATTAAAATCACAAATACGATACATTTTTAACATTAACCCTTCTTTATATTGAGTCATAATTCCCCTCCCTTTAAACTTAAGCCTTTAGTCCGGGAAGTACTTGGGTTCGCATCTTTATCTCATTTGACCAAACAACAAGGCTTCAGGCATAAGCAGAGACTTGAGACGGAGATTCAAATCATAGACTTCCCATAAAATCCTAGAATGTTCATTAGAAACAAGTCAGAGGTCATTCCCACACTGAAGGGGAGATGACTACACGAGGCAAAATTCTGGGACACCTTCAAAGATATAAAACCCTATAAAGATACCAAGGATAATGTGGCAGGGTCACCAAAAAGAACTCCACAGAGATAACCCTCTCAATTTTGGATAAATGCCTGCTCTTGAGCCTTAGCTTTCATCTTTTATTATTGTTCAGTGAAAGCTAAACAGCTTTCTACTAGGACACAATAGTTCTTTCTGGAGTAGAAAACAATCTAACTTTGAAACATATTTTATACTGGAAACTATGTAGTAAAGAATTTGACACCAAAGAGGGGTTTGGGCTTTGCTGTCAGCTTCTAGGAGGTAATCTCTATCTTTGTTTAGAATGGGAGTTAACACATCTAATCTTAACAAGGAATTTGAAATCAGATATACCTTGGTAGAAGCCTG